CCCCCCCCCCCCCCCCCCCCCCCCCCCCCCCCCCCCCCCCCCCCCCCCCCCCCCCCCCCCCCCCCCCCCCCCCCCCCCCCCACCCCGCCCTGCTCCGTGCCGCCCTGCACCGCACTGCACCGCACTGTACCGCACTGCACCGCACTGCACCGCACTGTACCGCATAGTACCGCACTGCACCGCACTGCACCGCACTGTATCGCACTGCACCGCACCCCACCTAGCTGCACCGCCCTGCACAGCACTGGACTGTTCCTGATGGCGGCGGAGCTTCGCTTCGACGCTGAAGGTCAGCCCCTAGAGTTCGAAGGCGTGGCTTGCCGACCTCCGCCGCCAACTCACTGGCCAGCGGCAGGATGGTGAACCGCTTTCCGCACACCTTGACGGTACGCTCCCCTGCCCAGACCCTCCTGCTATTCTGCCCGCTGACCCCACACCCACTGAGCGTGAGTCTTACTGCTGCCACTGCCCGTGCGCGCTCTGTCTGGCTTTCTCGCGATGCTGTCGCCCAGCTTGCCATTAGCAACGCCCTCCCCCCGTCCGAGCGTCCTCGCTTTAGGTCCCTCACTACTGCTCAGGCATACTTAGATGCTGTCATCAAGCGCTATTCCACCCCTCCGGCTGCCTCGGTGGGTCGCCTGATCCTCCCGCTGCTCTTTCCTGACCTTGCTTCGTTCCCCACTGTCTCTGACCTCGCTGCCCACCTGCGCTCGATAGAGGAGACCTGGCGCGCCGCATGCACTGACGCACAGCTTAGAGCCCACCAGCCGCCCATTACCTCTACCCTCTACCTGCTTGCCACCCGCCTCCCTGACCGCCTTGCTGTCGCCCGCGACCGCTTCCTTAGTGTTCACCCCGCAGACCTCACCCTCACTGACTTTGTCGACACCCTGACTGTGATAGAGACCCGTCACCGCTCCATCGCCCAGGCGAGCGGTGCCGTGCCGGTCCCTATCTTTCAGGGTTGTGCCCCCGCTCAGTGTACCTTCTCGACGGCTCTGCCGCGTGGCTGAGATTGCTGCTGCAGCGCAGGCCCGTTCTGGGAAGGGCCGCCGCCCCAAGCGGGGCGCGGCGGAGGGGGCGCGGGGGTGCGGGCGGGGGTAGTGGTGGGGTCGGGTCGCCTGGTGCTGGAGCGGACGAGGGACCCTGCCCAGTCCAGCTGAGTCGCCGCCCCTGCAGTTGCAGCAGCCGCAGCAGCCGCCGCAGTCGCAGCCTTCGCAGCAGCCGCAGCAGCCGTCGCAGACGCGGCAGACGAGTGTTCTCCCGCCAGGGTGGCCCGGCGCTGGCGGTGGACGGGCGCGTGGTGGTGTGCCGCGTGGTGGCTCTGCCGGCGGGCGTTGTCAGTACCAGATCCAGACCGGTCCCTCGCCGCGGTTTCGTTTGCGGTAAGATCGTCACTCCACTCCCCGCTGCTTTCGTCGCCTGGACGACCTCTTTCGTCAGCGTTTCGGCCCGTCGCCAGACCTCCCGGACTGGCACAGTTTGCTTAGTCGTCAGATTCAGATCTTTGATATGGACATGGATGCCATTGTTTCTGCTCTGCATGTGATGTATGCTGATGACTCTAGTGTGCTTCCGACTTATTACTCACTGTTGCCTAGTGTAGGTGTGCCTAGCTTAGCCTCCCCTGCTGCGTCAGGCGTAGGATCCCCTGCTTTGTGTAGTCTTGGTGCTTCTGCCGTCGTTCCGTCGCCAGACCCCTCGGCTTCGCTTTCCTTCACCTTGGACTCTGGCGCCTCTCGGTGTTTCTTCCGCGACTCCACCACCCTGACGCCGCTTCCTGTTCCTGCTGCCGTTTCTCTTGCTGACCCCTCCGGCGGCCCGGTAGTCGCCCGCAGTTCCACCACCCTTCCCTGTCCGGCGGTTCCTTCGGGCTCTCTTACAGGTCTGCATATCCCCTCGTTCTCCAGGAACCTAGTTGGTGTCGGCTGCCTCCAGGACCTTGGCGTCACCACTACGTTCCCTGGTCACGAGCGGTATGCTGTCTGTACCGAGGCCGCCACTGGTGCCCCCCTGTCCACGTTCCCCGGGACCCGGTGTCCGGTCTGTTCACTCTGGACACCGTGCCCCCCCGGCTGGAGCGCCCCTCAGGTGGCTGTGTCTACCCAGGTTGCTGCTGCCTGCTCCTGTCGCTCCCTTACTCACCCGACCCTCCTGTGGCACCACCGCCTAGGTCACCCTGCGCTCCCGCGTCTGCGTCACATGTCCCAGCACGGTCTTGTCCTTGGTCTCCCAGGTTCACTCCCCGCGTTTCCCTCCTCCCCAGCTCCACCTTGCACGCCTTGTGTCGAGGGTCGGCTTCGCCGTGCCCCTCACTCCTCCTCGTTCCCCCCTACCGCCGCGCCGCTGCAGACCCTGCACCTGGACGTCTGGGGCCCCGCCCCCGTCCCTGGGCCGCGTCGCGAGCGCTACTTCCTTGTGCTTGTCGACGACTTCACTCGTTACACCACAGTCTTTCCCCTGGAGCGCAAGGCCGACGTGCCTGGCGCCCTCATCCCCTGGCTTGTCTCTGCGCGTGTCCACCGCGGTCTCCCTGTCTTGCGTCTTCACTCAGACCGTGGTGGCGAGTTTGCCTCAGGTGTCCTTGGTCGCTTTTGTCGTGCGGAGGGCATCACCCAGACGTTCACCCTACCGGACTCCCCACAGCAGAATGGGGTCGCTGAGCGACGCATCGGCTTGGTCATGGAGGTCGCTCGCACCTCCATGGTCCATGCCGGTGCACCCCATTTTCTGTGGCCGTTCGCTGTGCGCTACGCTTCTCACCAGCTTAACCTGTGGCCGCACCCTCAGCAGCCGCAGGTTTCGCCGACCCGTCTGTGGACTGGGTCTCCTGGTGACGCGTCTGCGTTCCACGTCTGGGGCTGCCTTGCTCACGTCCGTGCCTCCGGCACGGACAAGCTCACTGCCCGCACCCTTCCCTGCGTCTTCCTCGGTTTTCCCCTTGACGCGTCCGACTGGAACTTTTACCACCCGCCGTCTCACCGCTTCTTTCACTCTCGTGACGTCACCTTTGACGAGTCCGTCTCCTACTACCGCCGCTTCCCCCACCGTGGTCCCCCGGTTACCCCCCCCCTGTTCCTGGTCACCCCTTCCCCGGTAGTCCCTGCCCCTCCTCCTCCTCCCCGTCCCGCCCCCTCTGGTGTCTCCCATGTCACCCCCCTTCCGTCCGTGGACCCGGTTGAGGAGTCTTCTGACTCTGGTGGCCCTCCGGTGCAGTCCTCGCCGGCCGCCCCTCCCCAGGTGTCCCCTCCCCAGTCCCCTCCTCCGCCGTCCCTGCCGCCACTGCAGCCGTCGCCGTCGCCGCCGCCGCCGCAGTCGCAGCCCCCGTTCGCTGACTCTGGGGGTGCTCGTCCCGGTCGCCCTGAGGGTGGTCCCTCTGGGGGTGCGGGTGTGGAGAGTGCCGGTGGTAGCCGAGGAGCAGCTTGCGGTCCAGGTGTCGCCGTTGTGCCGCCGCAGCAGCAGTCCCCGCCGGTGTCCGCCCTTCGCCTGCTCGGCCTTCCGTCCCCCGACCCTGCGTCGGTTCCTCCCCGACCGTCTCCTCCTCTTCCTGTCTACGGCCCTGTTTTCCCTCCGCCGGACTCGTCCCCGGCTCGTCTTCCCCCTCGTTCCCCTCCTGTGTCCCCTCCCCTGTCTCCTGACCCGACTCCTCCATCGCACGTCTGGTCTCACCGTCCCTCCCGTGCTCGTCCTGCCTCGCCTGTCCTGCGCTCCCACCCTATGTTGCTTCGTTCACACGCGTCTCGTCCTCCCCTTCTGCCGTCGCCTCCTCCGTCCTCCCTTGTTGTTGCGCCCCCCCCGCTGTCCGACTACCTTCGTGCCGCTCGTCCTCTTGTTCCTCGAGTCCTTGCCTCTCTCGTTACCGACCCGTCTGTTCCAGTCTCGTGCCTTGCCGCTCTTGTCGCTGCTGTCGCTGACTTCGCCTCTACCCGCCGCCTTGACTACGCCACCGCTCTGGTCTCTGACCCTGCCTGTCCTCCGTCTGTCGGGGGTGCTCCTGCCCTTGGCCGTGACGTCCTGGAGGACCGCCAGTTCGAGCTTGCTTTCCTCTCCGAGGCTGCTCCCCATCTCTGTTCCATGCTGCTAGTCCCTGAGGGTGACCCAGACGCTTTCGACATCCCGACCCCTCGCACTTACGCTGAGGCGACTTCGGGACCCTGGGCCTCGCAGTGGATAGCTGCCATGGAGCAGGAGATGGCATCTTGGAGATCCACCGGCACCTTCGTCGACGCAGTTCCCCCGCCTGGGGTGAACGTAGTCGATGGCCGCTGGCTCTTCAAGGTGAAGCGCCCTCCTGGAGAGCCGCCTGTGTTCAAGGCGCGCTATGTGGCTAGAGGCTTCAGTCAGCGCGAGGGGGTGGACTTCTTCCAGACTTTCGCTCCGACCCCGAAGATGACTACTCTTCGGGTTCTGTTACACCTAGCTGCTCAGCGTGACTACGAGCTTCACTCCCTCGACTTCTCCACTGCCTTTCTTCAGGGCAGCCTACACGAGCAGGTCTACCTGCGCCGCCCTCCGGGCTTTACTGGCACCTTCCCTCCTGGGACCCAGTGGCTCCTGCGGCGCCCCGTCTACGGCCTGCGCCAGGCTCCCCGTGAGTGGCACGACACTCTGCGTGCTACGCTTGCTGACCTGCAGTTCTTTCCGTCTTCTGTAGACCCTTCACTCTTCGTTCGTGCTGGCCAGACTCCGTTCTACATCCTCGTTTACATCGACGACCTGGTCTTTGCCACAGCAGACAGGGACGCGCTGGCCTCCGTGAAGGCAGAGCTGCTGAAGAGACACACCTGCACTGACCTTGGAGAACTGCGCCGTTACCTTGGCTTGCAGATCTCCAGGGACAGAGCTGCGCGCACCATCACCCTGACTCAGTCACACTTGGTGCGCCAGGTCCTTCAGAGGTTCAGCCTTCAGTTCTCCTCTGCACAGCCCACCCCTCTGCCTGTAGACCACAGGCTCTCCGCTCCAGTGCCTGAGGAGTTGGTAGAGCCCAGCGGCCCCTACGCAGAGCTGGTGGGTTGCCTCATGTACCTGATGACTTGCACTCGCCCAGATCTCGCATACCCTCTCAGCATCCTGGCTCGCTTTGTGGCCACAGGCAGACACCGACCGCAGCACTGGTCTGCCGCTAAGAGGGTTCTGCGTTATCTTGCTAGTACATCGGGCATGGGGTTAGTGCTAGGAGGACGCAGGCCAGCGGTCCTTACTGGGCACACAGACGCTTCGTGGGCAGACGACGCTGAGACACTCCGGTCTACCCAGGGCTACTGCTTCAGCCTTGGCTCAGGTGCCGTCTCGTGGAGAGCTACTCGCTCCTCGTCTGTTGCACAGTCCAGCTGTGAGGCTGAGATCTACGCCGGTGCCATGGCGGCACAGGAGCTCCGCTGGCTGACCTTCTTGCTCACTGACTTAGGTGAGCGACCTAGCTCTGCCCCGGTCCTGTTCGCTGACAACAGGGCCATGATCCTCCTGTGTCAGGAGCCTCGACTCGAGGGCAGAGCGAAGCACATTCAGCTGCGGTACTTCCTCCTGCGTGAGCTACAGCAGCGACGTCAGGCTCGCGTAGTACACTTGGCCTCAGGTGCCAACACGGCTGATATCTTTACGAAGGCGCTTGCGCCTAAAGATCATCAGCGGCACTGTGTACAGCTTGGTCTAGTTCCTGTAGCCTCTCACTTGCTAGGACCTTGACTTTGTACTGTCCTTTATATGTATACTCAGACTGGACTTGTGTCCTCTCCCAGTGGCTGGACTAGTAGTGCCGCCCTGCTCTTGTGCTTGCCTTGTCTGTACTCCTTCTGACCGGTCGCTCAGACTCTTGTCTCAGAGGTTGGACTAGTAGTGCCGCCCTGAGCTGCTTGTTTAGGGTATTCCCCTATGCAGTCTAGGGGGTGTGTCAAACATGTGTATTTGTCATGTTTGTATAGACTGTATAGAGTCACCTCTTAGAGGATACAAAACTTAGATATATTTGTGTGTACTCTCACTTTACCATTATTCATTTTTTCTGATACCAAATTGGTACTAATGCCACATGCTGTCAAACATATATGCATATGTTATTATGGGCTAGATAGGTGAGTGCTCTTAGAGAGTACATCACTAGCACAAAACTACCTTGTACCTTCTATTCTAGTCAATTCGTTACTCTGAGATGGTATCACGCTAGGTTAGGCCCTCCCCGCCCACCCCCGCTTCCGCCCTAGCCCTAGTTCTCGCCCCTAGCCCTAGTCTTAGCGCACTAGCCCGCCCGTGCTCCGTCGCCCATTGCTAGCCGCCTGTCACTAGCCGCCAGTCGCTAGCCGCCCGTCGCTAGCCGCCCGTTGCTAGTCGCCCGCCGCTGGCCCCCGTCGCTAGCCGCTAGCCGCTGGCCCCCGTCGCTAGCCGCCCGTCGCTGGCCCTCGTCGCTAGCCGCCCGCCGCTGGCCCCCGTCGCTAGTCGCTGCTGCCCCCCGTCGCTGGCCCCTGTTGCTAGCCGCCCGTCGCTGGCCCCTGTCACTAACCGACCGTCGCTGGCCCGCCGCGCTAGCCGCCCGCCGCTGGCCCCGGTCGCTAGCTGCCCGCCGCTGGCCCTCCTCGTCGCTACCTGCTCGCCGTGGCCCCACGCTCGCCACTGGCCCCGCGCTCGCCGCTGGCCCCACGCTCGCCTGCTGGCCCCATGCTCGCGGCTGGCTCCTAGCTCGCCGCTGGCCCTTCGCTCACCACGCGCTGTCCCTAGCTCGCCAACCCCTGCTCGACGATGCTCGCTCACCGGCCCGCTCTCGCTAGCCGGCCCCTAGCTCGCTGGCCCCAGTTCGAGCCGGTCCCAGTTCGCACCGGCCCCAGCTCCTGCAGGCCCCAACTTGAGCCGGCTCCAGCTTGCTCTGGCCCCAGCTACTGCCGGCTCCAGCTCCTACCGCCCCTGTGCACCACCGCCGTGCCGCCGGTCTCTGCTGGCCGAGCCGCGCCTTCCCAGGTCGTCGTACCGCAGTGCCACTGTGCCGCCTTGCCGCTGTGCCGTTGTGTCGACGTGCCTCCATGCCTCCGTGCCTCCGTGCCTCCGTATCGCTGTGCCGCCGTGTCGCCGTGCCGCCGTGTCGCCGCGCCGCCGTAGCCGTGGTGATGGAGGACGCTGTGCTCCACCTTGACGCGGAGGGTCGGGCGGTTGATTTTGAGGCGTGGCTCGTCGACCTTCACCGTCAGCTGACGGGTCAGTGCCAGGACGGCTACTCCTTGGCCGTCCATGTCGACAGTAAGCTCACCTGCCCCGCGCACCTGCTGCCCTCCCAGATGCCTATACGTCTGCTGAGCATGAGGCCTTTGCTGCTGCTGAGCTTGCACGCGCTGTTCAGGAGTCACGCGTCGCCGTAGCGCAGCTTGCTATCAGTCACGCCCTCCTCCTGTCTGAGCGTCCCCGCTTTACGGCTGTAGCGAATGCGAAGGAGTACTTAGATGCGGTCATTGCGTGCTAATCCACTTCCTCCTCTGCCTCTGCCGGCCGTCTGATCCTCTCCATGCTACTCCTTGATCTTGCGTCCTTCCCCAGTGTCACTGATCTTGCCACTCACCTACGCGCCCTTGAGACTAGCTACCGCACTGAGGCCCAGCTTGCTGCATTCCCTCCTCCCCATTGCGCTACCCTTTACCTCATTGCCACGCGCCTTCCTGACCGCCTCGCCACTGCTCGTGGCCACTTCTTTAGTCAGCACCCAGGTGACCTCACCCTTACTGCCTTTGTCACCA